AAACTAATTCTAGCCACAAGCGTGCTAGGAGACACTGGTGTCGGCAAAAGCACAGTGCGTCTCTCATTTTCTGACATTGCAACACGAGATTTAGCTCTATTCTCAGTTCCTAAACGCCGCTGCCGGACATTATATCGCCGAGGTCAAACACAGGTTGACTTCGTCCGAGCTAGTCGCAAAGCACTTTATTGTTCGGCATCCCCAACGCTCGACGCCCCCCTTTATCCTCGTTGAAGCACCTGGGTTTGACCATTGGTCCGAGCCTGACTATGAAATCTTGAAACGACTCATCGACTGCTTGGAAGCGTCGTGCGTATATTCTTAGAAAAGCGCTCTTGAACTGTCTTACCCCAGCACAGGTGCCACGAAGACGCTTCATTTGGGGGATTTGTCTACCTACACGACATTAACCAATCACGAGAACCGAATTCGATGAAGGCAATGTTGACTCGGCTGAGATCGTCTTCTCCTGAGATAATCGGCCGTATTCTGCTGACGACGACAAAATGGGGCACTTCGAGTCAGCAACTTGAAAGCGATGGGATTGGAAGCGACGGACTTGAAAACGACCGGCTTAAAACCGACCGGCAGAAGGAATTGGAGGATGGTTGCTGGAAGAACATCTTGAAGGCAGGCGCCCAGAGCCGCCGCTTCATGGATACGGAGGATTCAGCCTGGAGCATCATCGACACCTTACTTCAGGCAGAACCGCTGACACTTCGCATACTTCAGCAAGGCTTAGATATGACGGCACCGCCAAGTTCCCTTCCTTATAGATACAAGCGAAGCCCCCAACACAATCAATCGGAATCTACTTCGTGACTCGTAACTCAGTAGAACGAATATCTTCTGGGCCGCCGTATGCAACCTCACTCTCCCCCTCCTCTGTCGATAACCACCATATCTCTCACTGCTATCATACTACTGCAGCCAACATTGCCAGTACCACGTTCTCAATCACTATGTATCGACCTCATAAAACACGGATTTCTCTCCCGAAGTCTGGTCACTGTAGAACACGCCATGATCAAAGTTCTAATAAATAACTACAAGAGTAAGTGAGTATACAGCATACCCGACTCAAAAAAGAACCCGCTATGCACTTAAGAGATGTATCGAGAAATCATCTTCATAGAACATAGATTTCTCTCCCGAAGTCTGATCACTGCAGAACACGCCACGCTCCCAAATCCAATAAATAACCAGTACAATAGCAACTTCGCAACAGCCCACCCGACTCAAAAAAGAACCCATAAGAAAGTATCAAAAAACACACTACCACGCATTAATACAAACCAAACCCAGGTCAATATATATCATCACGAAGCAGCCCATTCCCAAGATCAGCAGAAAAGACAGGATTATAGGTAGACGTCGAGGTGAGGAAACATTCAAAACCCGACTCAAAAAAGGGTATCAAAAGATATAATATATACCACGCATTAATACAAACGAAAGCAGGTCATTATATGTCATCACGAAGCAGCCCATTCAAAAAAGCAGGATTATAAGTAGAGGTAGGGAACGAATGGAACCGGGACAGCAAGCGAGAATATGTAGTCTATAGCAGAAATTATGGCGCATATATGGGCGGGGGAGGGCACCCCACCCCGAGCCAGACGAATATGAAACCCCAAGCGGCTGCGTACTGCAGCCAGAAACAAAAATGTTACCGGCAGCGAAGATTGCCGATATGCAACAACGTTCAGAAGACGGAGCCGCACTCTCGACAACCGCCATTTGAAGTGCACCCCCGTTCCACGGCGGTCCCCACCTATCGCACCGGCTCGACCGCCGCCCCACCCTCACCCGTCCCCGCCCCCGTTGAAGCCCTCCCCACCCCCGCCTTCTTCAACCACCCCTTCACCGTCCCCCCCTTCCCCTTCCCTCTCCCCTCCCCCTCCCTCACCCCTCCATCCACCCCCGTCCCCCTCCGCCTCATCCCCATCTCATCCACACCGCCCGTCCCCTCATCATCCTCCCCACCCGCACCCGCACCCACAGGACGACTCCCATTATTATGATTGCTAACGCCAATACCCACCCCCATCCCCACGCCCATCCCAAGCCCCAACCCCATAATCCCAAGTCCAGCTCCTATACCCGCGCTCCCTGCTCTCTTGGGTGGCGGTTTTGGCTTGGGCTTGGGCGTGGAGGAGGATGAGGACGATTTGGGTCTCTGCGTGGGGGTCGCGGAAGAAGAGGAGGTGGGTGGAGAGGACGCGGAGAACGTCGCTGATGGAGAGAGCGCGTGTGTGGATGAGGGCGGTGGTGGAGGGCTGGAGCCCGGAGTAGACGGCGCAGCGGAGGCGGTCCAAGGCGGAGACGCAGTGGCCCCAAACGACCTCGGCGACGTATTAATGTACGACACCCCCGGCGAGCTCGCCACACTGCTCGCCCCATTCTTACCATGAGCAGCCGCAGCCCTGGGCTCCGGCGGCACATACACCGTAAACGGGCTCTCCCTCGCCTCATGCGTCGTCCTCACAGGGTTAAACAGCGCCTCAATCAGCGTCTCCGTCGTCTTCGGGCCATACGCCAGCGGAAGCCTCGACGGGTCAAACGACTGCGTCGGGGCCCGCTCCCTCCCTCTCCGTGCGGGCGCAGCGGGGGTGGTGGGATCTTTCTCTGGCTTCTCCTCGTTCTCATTCCCCTTCCCCTTCCCCTTCTTGGTTTTGGAAGAGTTGGAAGGGACGGCCCGCCCGCCGAGGAGATCAAACTCCAGTTCCTCCTGGTCGTAGTACGGCCCGTAGAGGTCGAGGCCCTTGGGGCGCACGCGGTAGACGTCGTGTTCGCCGATGATGCCGAGGGAGGAGGGGGAGGAGAGGATGTTGGAGATGCCGGTGAGGATCTCGCCTTTCGGGAGGGGAGGGGGGGTGAATGTGTTTGTGGAGGTGGAGGTGGTGCCGGCGGAGGGGGAGGTAGAGGTGGGGGCGCAGGCGGAGGAGGGGAGGTGCGTTAGGTGCGTTGTTAGCTGGGGGATAAGGTATGATGTGATGTTAGGGGGGGTAAGGAAGGAAGGGAGATGAGGAGGAACGGACCTTGAGCGTTGCGTTCGTCTTGCTCTCCCTTAGGAGATACCTTCTGCTCACCTCGCCCTTGCACGCGTACTGCGCCAGATCGAGGTTCACCACCCCCAAGCGCGTCGCGCGCGCATCAGGGTTCGCAGGGTCGCGCTGGACGATGGTGAGGTTGGCCGGACACGTCATGAGCGTGGAATTGGGATCGCGGTCGACGTCCATGCGCACGAGGAGCGAGAGGGTGTGTTCCCAGGTCACGTTGTGCTCCTTCAGCTTGACGAAGGGGGTTTCGCCGCGTGCGGGGGTGGTTGCGTTGAGGGAGGCCTCTAGTGTCGAGGTGGCGAGGACGGAGTCGGGGAGGGAGGGGGCGGTGGAGGTTGTTGAGGCGGTTGTTGAGGAGAGGAAGGAGGGGGAGGAGGCGGTGGAGTCGACTGCGGTTCGGGAGGTGCTCGGGCGCGAGGAGGAGGAAGAGGAGGAGGAGGAAGATGAGCCGGCTGACCAGACGGATGCGGAGCGCCCGTCGATCGAGGTCGTGCGCTGGGACGCGGTGTCGGCGCTACCCAGACTGCCTGTTTCGTCTGCCTCATCCCCGCCTGCCCTGCCCTTGCCCTTTGCGCTCTTCTCGTCCTGCCGTGCCTTCCTTCGTGCCTTCAGATTACCAATAATCCCAGTAGCCTTTTTCGCGCCGGGTGCGCTGTGCACGTTCTTGAATTTCCATTTCACGGCAAACTCGCCGCTGACGAGGGGTATGTTCGTGATTTGGTGGATGATGATGAAGACGTGGAAGAATGCGTGTCTGGGCAGGAGATGGTTCAGCTGAGCGCGTAGGCCGCTGCTTGGGTTGTTGGTCGTTGGTGTGTAGGGGGCAGAAGAATGGAGCGAGGAGTCGTCGTCGTCAGAGTCGGCATTAGCGTTGGAGAAGGGATTAGAGAGTATGAAATGGTGGTGCCCGTGAGCAGGCGCCGCAGCCATTTATCGGGTATTCTGCGTAGAGCAGCCAGTGAAGATGAAGTTCAGAGCAGAGCTGGGTCAAGCATTTTTTTGGTTACGCAAGTGATATGTGGCGGTTCGCCAAATGCGCCGTGTTGTCCGGCGTTTGTTAGTCTCGATCGTTTCAAATTAGCCGACCCTGCCATTGTCCCCCTTAACCTGCCAAGCCATCCCCCGGTCAGCAGTCTAATTTGCGCCCGTACCACCACCTCCTTTGCTCGCTGTCCTTGACCGTGTCCAGTCCCCCAACTTTCGGCTCGCTCCCACCCTGGGTACCCGTCACCCGTCTCCACCACGCGGCTGGCAGATCTGCCACGATAAGCCCGTTAAGCTGCCGACAATCTCCACCCTTCATAGCGTCCGTTATCAATTCAGTTCTGGAACTCTCATCACGCCGGACGCATGGGCGTCCGATGACACACCCGGGAGTGTCGAATCCCCATAGTCCTATCTTTGTTCGTTCACATCGGCCATTGTCTACTTCTTAGCTCACACCATCCCCAGACTTTCACACTCAGGCGCCCGTCCGCTCATGTCCTCCGTCTGAGATGCGAGCGCCGATCTCGGTGGTGCTACTTCTCTCTCCGTCTGAAACGCTTGTCAGACGTCGTTCTTGAAATGGACAACGGTGTTTATAGAGTGATACGGCTCACGGTATAAAGCAGCATGGTGCAGCCGGCAGCCGCGGGGTACACATGTCGCCTCGTGGTTGTGACGTATACGAGTACATCTACACCCTGCGGTCACTCGTTCGACCCGAGTCGCTGTTATGATAAAACATTGTCCTCGTCTAAATTTTGTACACGCGAACACCTGGAAGACACGGATTTTGCGCGCGACCAGACTTTTGGACAACGTCGAGGTATAGTGCTGTCAACGTGATGGTGTCCTAGCTCACTTCTCCCAGCACCATCGCTTCCCCCCTCATCTTCTTCGGCCACTACCGCCCCCTCCCGCCCCTCTCAACCACCTACCGACCTAAGCAACTAAAGCAGCATGGCGCAGCTGGCAGCGCGCGGGGTCTACATATTGCTTCCTTGTATTGACACTCCGCGGTCATTCGTTCGACTCGAGTTGCTGCTATCACCTCGAACTCATGTAGTTCCAATTTGCACACACGCGAACACCTGGAGGACGAAGATCTCGCGCGCGACCAGTCTCTTGGACGACGGCGGTGTAGGGCGCTGTCAGTATCATGGACGGGTCACCCTATCCTAGCTTACTTCAGGTTCTCCGAGACCAAGGCGACCCCTCCTCACCTTCTTCAGCCACTACCGCATACCCCTCCCGGCCTTCTCAACCCCCTACCAACCTAAGCAAGTAAAGCAGCATGGCGCAGCTGGCAGCGCATGGGGTCCACATACCACCTTGTGTTCTGACGTACCCGGCGGTCACTCGTTCGACCCGAGTTGCTGCTATGATGGAATAATGAGCTCTTCTAAATTTTATACACGCGAACACCTGGAGGACAAAGATTTTGCGCGCGGGCAGTCTCTTGAAGAACGTCGGGGTAGGGCGCTGTCAGTACCATGGACGGCTGGCGACATGACTTTTACGCTTTCCTAGCTCACGTCAAGTTCTCCGACCACGATCGGTCCTCATCTTCGTTCGAATCGAGTTGTTACGTCTATTGATTGGCGTTTCTGGTGTACACAGATCGTTTGTTGTCTTTGGAAGCATTAAATCGGAGTAAGGACAGTTCGAGGGGCGTCCACGCGTACTTAGCGGACATCCTCGCCATGCGTTTGGCGCACCCATTGTTCTAGTCAAGTAAAGACCGAAGCATCGCGAGCTTGCCACTCGTTTCTCTGCGAATCACTTCGACACGCGAGGGTACTTCCAAACCCTTCATGCGCTAACTCATCCGCTCTATGGCGACGGCTCTGGGTATAATTGCCAGTGGCGCGCGTCGTGCAGGGTCAGGCAAATATGGATGACAGAGCTCCTCGATACAGGTTCAACGTTCATGGGGCATATTACATACAAGGTAAGACCTGCCGCTGACTTCGCGTCTCTTCACCCCAACCAACCACATCCAGCTGCCTACGTCCCCTCTCTTCAGCTGATGTTAAACTCGCTTCGGACCTCGGAGGCCCTGGACTAGGGCGCCAATCGCCATCGATAAGCTTCATCGCTCCGTCCTCGTCCACCGTCCACCGTCAGGATGTGTCCGGTCCTGCACCGTCGTAGCTTCCTCCCATGTCCCAGCGTCTTCATCTATGGTATGTATAACAGCACGGGGCAGTTGGAAGCGCGGGGCCCATGTCGTATAGCTCTTGTGCCATAGGTCACTTGATTGAAACAAGCTTCCAAGAGTCACCACGATATCTTTTGGCATTTCTATTAGGATGATGAAAAGAAACATCTTGAAAACGATGGGGCATGCATAGTGCTGATCGTATAGCGCGCATATATTTACTTGACATGATGGTTTGGACGCTGGCGGGCGAGAAAAAATGTATCCGACCTGCCTGGCTCGAACAGGCGACATCAAGATGATTGGATATCCATTACAGTCTTGCGCTCTTCCAGCTGAGCTAAGGTCGGTGACGATATCTTACTCATGTTACAGCGCTTTTACAATGTATGCGGAAAGCCGGAAAAAAAGAGTTATGTGGTTGTGTTTGAAACGAAGGCAAGCGGACTTGTCGTTTCGAATTTGGGCACAATCAGGGAATGCTGAGGTCGTTGAGCCGTCTCGGGACACCACCATGTCCTCTCCACCTCCTCCGGAGGTTACACCTTCTGTCTACTCAGCTTTGATAAATGCCAAGCTTGTTGTACTCGAGACCGTTCCTGCCAGTGCAAAGAACAAGAAACCATCAACCCGAAAGGCCACCAAAAACAAACAGTTCAACTACACATTCGAGGCAACCCAGGAGAACTACGTGGGATTTCTGAACACTTTCTTGAAAATACACCATGTCGAAAAGTACCAAGCCACTCCAAACCATACCTTTGCATTCAAGATACAGATCCCTCCTGAGAAGTACGGAATGCCGCAGATTGACAAACACCTTTTGCTAACTTGCAGTAACTTCCACTTTCTCAGGGTTGGAGAGGCTCGCGACGTCGAAGAATATGGGGAATATGACACTTTGGCAAGGGAGATCCTCGAGGCGAAGCCTAACAAAGCTATCAACATAACTATCGAACTTGCACAGATCCAAAAACACGGCAAGGTAAGTTCATGTCGTTCTGCAGCTCTCTCCATATCACTCTGTCTGAGTTACCATTCTACAGAAGAAGTCAAAGGGTGCCGATAGCCCAGAGAGTAGTGGGAGTGAAGATGACGAGGGGATGACAGTATGTGACTCTTCCATCGACAACGTCAAATCTCTAACTATATGCGTGTTTCAGGAAAATGGACTTACAAAGCTTGATCTCGAGCTTGCGCGGTGTCGCAGACTCCTTGAAGTGAAATATCTGAATGATCACGACGGCGGGTATACGTACATTGACAAGACCCCGGGCGGAGTAGGTGATTCATTTCCATTGACCCCCTTCATGATGAAGGAGTGGGCGAGGGCTATTGTACGTCACCTATTGCTGCTCTTTGCTTTTGGCTAACCACTCATGAAGTATGATGGCATTGCAACAGCAATGCAACCTCCAGCAACCAACACGTTCGATCCCCTCAACCGTCGTGCGAGCCTCCCCCGATCACGTTCTACATCAGCATCAGCGCCATTATCGACACTTTCTGGATCATCCGATCTGGCCCACGTTGCCTCAATTGTACAGGGACTCGTTGCAATGGCTCAGCCGCCTCTACGCCCGACTCCTCTCACTCCGAAAAACAAATCCACTAGTAACGATCCATCGACTCCTCCCAGCATTCGAAATACGCCATCTAAACTCTCACGCTTCCTCAGATATGCCGAAGCAAATCTTGGTGTCCGTAACGCAACAACCTATGAAGAAGCATTCCAAACGCAAAGTTACGGGCCTGACATCCTTCATCTGGTCGACGACAAATCCTTACTTGACATGGGCTTGGCCCAGGGCGACGTTATACGGCTGAAGACGAATTCACTAAGATGGTATAACCTCAACTCTGGGTATCAGAAGCGCAAACGGGCGATCGAAGATCAAGGCACCCCGCCACCACCCCCTCTGCCCCGAACACCCGAAAATATCAAGATCCGCTTTGAGAAGCGGTACCATAATGGCGGCACAGCGAGAGTCTATGGCCCAAGGATCACTCCAGGCAAGCCACGTTTCGAGCAAGACTACGACATGACTTTCTTTTCGGAGGCTCGCCGCCAATTTATACCTGTTCCTGATGGTTTTATGGCAGTGATTGATGGTGTTCCCATTGAGCGTGAGGAGGAGGACCCTGGGTACTAGGTGTTTGCATACACTTTCTATTTGTCGTTACCCTGCACTTCAAAGCTTTTGTATTTGTACCCCCAAAGCCTTACAATATGATCATGATACTGTTACACTACATATCCCGATGCTTTGAAAAAGCCCCATGCCTTCTTTGCTGTAATATTATGACATGCGCGATCAATGATGGAGAGTGAGAAGTCTTGCCAATTTCGACGCAGAAAAGCTTTGATAGATGAAAATGCTTGCTCGATTGGGTTCAGATCGGGGGAATAGGGTGGCAGGAAGATAAGCTTGCACACTTATGTTGAATGCAGTGTTTTCACGTCAACATTTATATGATATTAGGCAAATTACTTACGTGCTTCATCTTCCACAAGAACCCTCACCTCCTCGGCATGGTGGATGCTACAGTTATCCAGGATCAAAACACTACGAGGACCAGGATATGGGTTGGTGAGAGGGATCTGACATGTCAAGCCTCAGTAATAATTTTGCTTAGCAGGTGCGTAGAGCAAACTCACCACCAACTCACGCAGGAACTGTACAAAGCGCTCAGATGTCACGGACCCTGGAATGATGTCGTAGGTGATGATTCCATCCACAGTGATAACGGGAAGGATCGAGTAGCGTTCCCCACGAACGAAGAACCGCTTTTGGATGCATCTCTTCCCTAAGGACGCCCATCCTTTTGGCCGCTGAGATGATCTTCGATTCCTTGCAGCTTCGTCGATGAACATCATCATTCCAGGATCAGGAACTTCTTCGGCTATGCGATTCATATAGGCTGACCGAATGATGTCATTTCGTTCAAGAGCGCGGGCGGATACGACTTTGCGAGTGAGGTCGAGGCGGCGGAGAGTTTTACACAGAGCCGGTACTGAGATACAGATTCCTCGATGTTGGTAGAGTTCATCCTGAATCTCATCCAGATAGATAGTATGTCTTCGAGTGATAAGGGCCAAGATGAGCTTGATATCAGCTGTACTCAGCAAGCGTCGTCGCCCAGTTTTACGGTGAATATAAGGGTTATGCGCAACTCCATAGGCCTTGAAGTGCAAGAGGGAAGAATAGACGAGGGATTTCTTGATGCCTAGAAGCTCGCATATCTCTTTTGCTGTGAAGTTCTGCTCATAGAATAGAATTGGGATGCGTGCTTTCAAGTCTTGCGAAATATGCCGCAGAGGCATGACAAGTTGAGGAAGGAGAGCCTCGATACCAAATACAACCACATAACTTTTTTTTTTCCGGCTTTCCGCATACATAGTAAAAGCGCTGTAACACTCACGACATCCAACCTGGAATATATGACGTGGTCGAAAACGGACCTCAGGAAGTGTATTGTTTCCGTCTATACAGATAATACACCGGGTCTCAACAATTGCAATCCGGTATACGTAGTGGAAAACTCCCTTGAGGCGGCAATGGCGCCAGTCAGATACGTCCTCTATAAGGAAAGTTACGACTGACAGAACATGACAGCCGGACAAAACTGGGTCGCGTCGATATCTCCACAAGAGATCCCATCCGCACGCCATGGCGTCTGTTATTGAAGAGCCCCAAGTTTGTAGCCCGAATTCAGAGTGGTGAAGGTAGCAAGGCCGGCGAAATCGTGCTGTGCTTGCGACCCTGACGACGAGACGGAATGAGCGACCAAAGGCAGTTGGGGAGCATGGCGAGAAACAACTGCTGGAATAAGATTGGAGTAATATGATTACTCTCCAATCCAAACTTTGTCGGTATAAAGGCCGGGGCGCCAAGGGGTAATCCAATGAAGAGTTCGGCCAGCGACTTGGTTGCTCATCGACATCAGTTGAAACTTGGTTGAAACTTGACGGGAAGCTGAGGCGCCAGGCACTAGTTCGGATCCGGTGTTTGAGCCTGTTTGAACCCCAACCCGATGACAGTATTTCTTTTGGTGTCATCAGGTGTCATCTGTGCAGTAACCTTGACCTCGTACCATACACGCTCCAACGATTGTTTTCTGCTCCTTAGTTTCTGGTCCTCCATTACTCTCAGACTCTCATATATTGCAACGGGCCGCAAAATCTCCGAAAATTCTGCTAGACCTCGCGCGATGTTACGC